TGAGCTTGCCTCGTGAGAAAGGGGATGATGATCAAACTGAGTTAATATGCGGAACAGTTGATGGGGAGGGAAATGTGCCAATAACTTTTGGGAAGTATAGCGCAGATGCACTTAGGAAGGGTATAGCAGAAATGATTATCATCGATGAACTTCCATTTAAATTTGTTGAGGGAAAGGGTTTTAGAAAGTGCATATACATTGCTGCTCCAAGATTTAAAATGCCTTCCCGATGGACAGTTGCTAGAGATTGTTATGGAATTTACTTAGAAGAACAAGCTAAAATAAAGAAGTTGTTTCAAGGTGCCCAAGTGTCACTTACCACTGATTGTTGGACGTCTTTGCAAAATGTCAATTATATTTGTCTAACAGCTCACTTTATTGACGAAAATTGGAAATTAAATAAGAGGATAATCAACTTTTGTCCAATTGAGAGTCATAAAGGTGAGAATATTGGTAAAGCAATTGACAAGTGTTTGCGAGATTGGGGTATAGATAAGGTTTTTACAATCACAGTTGACAATGCAAGCTCAAATGACACAGCTGTGGGTTGGTTAAAAAAGAGGTTTATTAGTATGGGAACATCATTGCTTAAAGAAAAATACTTTCACATGAGATGTGTGGCTCATATTGTTAACCTCATTGTTAGTGATGGCATGAAGACAATGAATAGCTCCATTTATAAGATAAGAAGTGCTGTTAAATATGTTAGACAATCACCTGCCAGAATGCATAAGTTCAAAGAATGTGTTGCATTTTCAAAGATTGAGTCTAAATCTTTGTTGAGCTTAGACGTGTGTACAAGGTGGAACTCAACATATTTGATGTTACATTCTGCTCAGAAGTTTGAGAAAGCATTTGACAGGTTTGAGGATGTCGAGAGTAATTACATAACTGCTCTCATTGAAGATAAAGGGATTCCTTCTCATGATGATTGGGAAATTGGTAAGAACTTAAGCATATTTTTGGAGCGTTTTTATAATCTCACAAAAAGAGTTTCTGGTTCCTTGTATGTCACATCTAATGTTTATTTGGAAGAAATATGTGATGTGTATTGTACTTTGAATGCTTGGGCGAGGAGCGAAGATGAACAATTTAAAGATATGTCTTTAAAGATGCTTGATAAATATGACAAGTATTGGGGTGATGTTGAAAAGATGAATATGTTGTTATACATTGCTGCTGTTCTTGATCCTCGATACAAGTTTGATTATGTGGAATTTTGCTTCAAGAAAATGTATTCGCAAGAAGTTGCAGAAGCATTGCATGAAAAGGTCAAAAGTACAATGGACGAATTATTTGTGGAGTACAAAAAAATGGCAGACACTCTTGGAAATACTTCTAGTGCACAAACTACTTTAACCCCACAAAGTAGTTTGAACACTTTAAGTGCTACTGTTGATTCTAACACAATCAGTGAAACCAGTACCAAGAATGAATTTAGGAAATATAAGAGTTCGACTGTTCGTGGAGGGCAAAAATCAGATTTGGACAAGTACATCACCGATGAGTTTGATGAGGATGAAGATAGTTTTGATATTCTAGGATGGTGGAAAAAGAATGGCCACAGGTTTCCAATAATGGCTAATATTGCTCGTGATGTTTTAGCGGTTCCGGTGTCAACTGTTGCTTCTGAATCTGCTTTCAGTACAGGTGGTCGTGTCCTTAACTCGTACAGGAGTTCTTTAACTCCAAAAATTGTCCAAGCTCTTATTTGCTCTCAAGATTGGTTACGACAAGGAGCATATTGTAGCATTCACGAGTTTGAAAGTGAAGTTTCTGAATTGGACAAATTAGATGAAGGTGTGTATAACTACATACGTTGCTATTATATCATTTAAAATGTATTCCATTTTTCAATATTTCTTTTAGCATTCATAACTATTTTTTTAAATTGTCTATTTGTTTTGTTCTTTTAGATTTGTCCAAACTCAAGTTGGATCCAGTTATTGATGCTTAGAGATGTGAAGACATTGAGATCTTGATTTTGGTAACCCGGTAATGTTTTGGTAATCCCGTTATTTTATTAATTATAATTCTCATACTTTTCAATTTCAGTGGATTGTATGTTAAGACTTTTTTTCTTTAGAAGTACAGATTGATGGTGATGGGTGACATCCAGTTCTGATGGAATTGAGCAGCGAAGTCATGGGAGCATTTCAGTTTATTATTATTTTGAACTTTTTAAAGCTCTACTTGGATTGATATCAGTATTATTGTTGGCTTTTATTATTCATTTTGGGGCTCTACTTTTGTTTGTTTAAATACTGTTTGACCCATGAGAGATAATATGTTTTTGTCATTTTGGAGCTGTCATTTTGGAGCTGTTATAATATGTGTTTGACTGTTTGCTATTACTTTCCTTTAAAAAATTTGAGAAATATTTCAATATTTGCATTAGGCATTAGGTTTTTTGAATGAAGATTTCGGTTTTTTCAAACCGACCGAACCCGATCGGTTTTTACTCGGTTCGGTTTGTTCGGTTCTAGCTTTAATTCAGTTCGGTTCGGTCGGTTTTTTTGAGTAATTTTAATTTTCGGTTTTTTCGGTTTTGGGCCGAAACCGACCGAACCGAACCGATGCTCACCCCTAGGAGGATGATACAAGATATACTCCGGGCAAAGGATCCCTAACCTAAATTAATTTGTAATTCGACCTAATTAAACAGATTGAGCTAATACATTTCAAAAACGTGTTAGAAGCAAATTTTAGTTGACACATTAAGCCAGAAAAATAACATGTCTACACAGGGAATAATAGCATTTCAATAATCCTTTAGTAGAAAAAAAGCCTAGTTATTACAAGGCCAAAGACCCAACAGTGGAAAGGAACAAAATGGAAAAACAAAACAGGACAGATGAGTTCAATAGTATATTACAAGGTATATACCCATGACACTCGAGTTCTATAGGGGAAAAAAAAAGATGCCCTTGTATAAAAAGCAAACAATACCATTTGGAGCAATTCAAATGCAAAGTTTCTCTCAATAAGAAAACTTTCTTCTGGGTTTAACTTAGCAAAGCAGATCACGAAAATTTTGGGATGCAGGGTGTAATGAGTGCTCATTGTCTACTACTCCGTAACAAGTAACTATAAAGAAAAACAAATGCTCCCCGTGTCACATAAAGAATGTCTCATTGCGGTTAACAAAATTGATTGAAGTTTACTTTGAATTCAATTTGTCTAATACTGAAGTAAAATTTAAAAATAAAAAATTAATATATTTAAAAACTACATCAAATGGTTGGAGGGGGAATATACGAGTAACTTTTTCGGGTAACTTCTTTCTTTCCCTTAGGAGCGATTTGGTTGGTGGGGGAATAATGAGGGAGGGTATAGGAATAAGAAGGTACTCCCTCATCCCATATACTCCCTCATACCACCCATAGATGGGACCCCCAATAGAGAAACGCCGACTTTGGAACGGAACAAGAAGGTAACCCTACGCGGCTACGCCCTACACAACACACCCAAAATAGAGAGAGAGACTGATGAGAGCTGAAATGTTTAGGCAATGTCTCAGGGTCGCAACCTCCGCCTCCGCCGCAGGAGAAGCGTTCATCCCGGCGGTTAGGTAATCCCCTCCCCAGCTGCTCTCCTTACAGATCAACTTATTTTAATTGTCCGAGGTATCAAGAAAGTGTTGCTATACAATTGATAATCTACAAAATGGGGCCACATT